ATCACCTAAACATAAGAATTGTTGTGTTTTAGTTACCTTAGTATTAGCTGTTTTCATCTACAGAGGGAGTGGGTCCTCTTCCAAAAAGTCTGCCATGTTTCTACAGTAGGCCAGAACAGACAGACCAGACACTGGCTGTAGATAGGGCCTTTTTTAGGGTTTTTCGCAGCCCCCTTAGTTTTTCCTACACGCTTGGAAGGGAAGGGTGAGGCAACTTGTTTGCAATGTGGAAATTCCCTGCTGGATACCACTAAAACCTACACACTAGTCCTTTAAGAGTCATAATGTGTATTATATGCAGTGAGATTATAGGTCTAAACCTATTACATAAGATGCATTAATGAGTTACTGTTTGACTTCACTAAAACATAATTCACCAGGACATTACTGCTACTAGTAAGGAACTCAGTATCATACATGCCTCTCCATTCAGTCATGATCTTTGCTAAACTGAACTTTTCAAGGGACTCTGCACTTATGTGCAAACCCGTTGGCTTTAACATTTGTTTTTGTTATTTTTGCATCCTCATGAAGCTGTTTTATGTCCATCCATGCAGCTTGCGTGACATCCTCAGTCTCTTTCTCAGTCTATCACTCCATCTGAATCTCTCAATGTGTTGACTCTGTAGTAACAAAATCAAAGTCATTGAGCATGACTATTTATCAGTGTACTTATAATATCCTTTCAGTCCCTAATGGATTTTCATTATACTTATAAATGCATGACAGCAGAGCCACAGTCTTGTTTATGCAGATTCAGTGTGCTTTGAGATAAAATAATGCGTTTACATCATGCATGACTGCAGCAACAGCAAACACCTGCAACCACTGGTTGCTTTGTGAAAGGTTTTTTACCCTCAAAGGACAACAAGAAAGGGTGGCTTTTGTTATCAGAACATGAAAACAGGCTTCTCCATCTCTAACAGAAATAAACTCAGAAATAACCTTTGCTGCTTATGCTATTGTTGAACCCTGAGGATTTTTGCTACTATACTGTTTTCAGTACATATTATATTTAATGTAAAAACCATTAAAGTTTAGAATAAGCATTAATGGAATAAAAATCTTGTAATCCCATTAACTTGTGCCATTTAACAAGTTAAATTTTTCATAATTGTTTTAGCAGAGTGGGCAACATCCTCCAGGCGCAGAGAGGAGCAGTGGTATCTAAAGCTCGAGTTAAAACATGACATGTTGACATTTAATTACAGAAACATCTTCCAAAAGGACAATAAAAGAACAAGCGACACACTAGTGCGATAAATTACTTTTACCATGTTCTTGACTTCAGTGAACTTTTAAAATAATTGACAACTTTGTCAATGGTCAGCCATGCCAACACTATACCTGCCCCTGCTGTTGCCCTGTTACTGATGGGTCTATGCCTGACAATAGGCTAACTAGATATTTGGAGCCCGCATCAGATACAAGTGATAGTAATACAGACTTGAAACATGTGTATTTACAGATGGGTGCGAGTATTTTTGAACATGGAGCTGGCCAGCGGGAAATGCAACTGAAACATGTGATAAGGCAGTTCCAACCAGTTTCCTATAAGGCTGAGGAGTGACGTCAGGTGAGGTCATTAATCAACCCTCACAACAATGTACCCCAATGTAACATCATAGTGTTCCATGTTTTCAATAAAATAAGGTACTCTAAGGTAGTAAAGTGTTTCCATTACTGTGTGAATGCAGAAGAATACAGACTGGATCTTTTATTTTCCATTTTATATGATATTATGTGATTTGATATACAGATCTGGATTCAGATCCATAAACCATTGGATCTTTCTGCATCAGGTACTTATTTGATCAGTAAGAGAAACAAGTTGTCATCTTTAAACTATGGGCCAATCTATGAGGTAATGTACATTTTCACATAAAGTGACCACATGCCAAACAAGAATCTTTTTCATGTGCTTCTACACCATTGCCATCAACATTTGCTACAAACATTAAATACTGGCCTCTAGTGGACTCCGGGTAAAGTGCATGAAGACCTTCCATATGTGGCGAGGAGTGAAATCTATTAGTAAATAAGGGGGGAACTAAAGATAACTAAAAGGAGGAACTAACTTAAGGACCGACAACACCACCTTTGGACTTGCACCCCAGGATATAAAAACCAAATTATTTTAAAGGGCACAGGTTTGAAACTGATGAGGCGGAGACAGTAGGTAAAATAGAAGAAATGTTTATTACAAAAATGAAAGAAAACTATAAAACAGTGCTAAAACTAATGAAATACATGATAAACGCAAATCAGTGGGCTGGGGCCTCAGTGGGGGCAGACTACTGGTAAAATACCCCATCTCACTAGTCTGGGGGGAAACAATACAAACAGTACAACAAAACATGCACTAAAAGAGCCCCAGTGCCTACTTGGAACAGGAGTGAGGTTCCACCACGGTGCTAGCCGCCCACCTGAGGACACCCAGGCCGCACCAAAAAGCAAGTTAACAAAAGAAAAGGCACTCCTGAAACAAAGAGAATCAAAAGTTAACCAAAACCAACAACCCCATTGATAATTAAACAATCTCAAAACATACACTCAAGCAAAATAGAAATATATTTAAAGAACACAAACTTAATAAATAAACTAAAGAAAAGAAAAGGCAACCCTAACAAAAACAAAGCAAAACAGAACAGCAGC